TCGATCGATCCTATAGTCCCTAGACCACCATGCCGTCGATCTAGAAAACCCTTTGTTGGCGAGCAGCTTCGTGCTCGGGCTGTTGTTATACCTACCTGAGAACACGCTTGGACACTAGCTCCTCTCTGCGAGCGAGGTAGAAAGATGCGAGGAAATAACTGCGGTGCTCGCTAATTGTGCGCTGTTCTTAATTTACCCCGTGGTTGTATGCGGGAGGGAAAAAGCGGTATGGAAAGGTTGAAAAGAGTGAGGGGAGGAAGCTGCATGGAAGGAACTAAAGCATGGGAGTCAGTGGAGCCCGTGCAGTGGACTTCTGCGGCGGATTGGCCTCTCGGCGTCGCGCCGATGGATACCCAGAGGGGGAAAGGATGCCACCGTCTACCGGACCGACGAACTGCCGCTAGCTCGGTGCAAGGACGGAGCCGATCATCGCGATGACACAGGCAGCGTGAGATCACGCATATGCAAGGTCTTTGACCAGGAGGGTCAATGGGTCTCGCAGGCAATGCCTGGGCAATTTCTCCGATGACCGTCCATCAATTATTTCCGTATTTTTGCTACAAAGAAAGGCATTCATAATTTTACCAGCCACTTGCGCGCCGTTACTAGACCAAATGGACGGCAGCAGTGCTATCTACGGGGGAAAATTTTAACTTGGTGCCAAATAAGAAAGTCCAATTTTTAGTGCCAAATGCGGAAGACTGATTTGTTTGATGCCAAATACAGAATTCTCCCATAAAATTAACACGGACTGTGCAATCTTTCGGAAGCCTTTCGCCTGTACAAATCTTCTTTCACTAGTGTTAACACGTACTGTACCTTTTTTTTTTCCTGCAAAAATCTTGGCCTCCAGCTTTTAGGTGACATGTCAATTTTTTTATAAATAGCAATTAACCATCCGGCCTATTGACGTTGGCTCTCAACTCTGGTCCCACCACGCATCCAAAGATTCCAAACAAAATCCTAGACAATTATTTTCTGCACCCTAATTAATTGCTAAACCCAACATGGTGGTGATAGGCCCCTCTCTGCTGCTGACGCAAGCTTCTAAAGTTGCTTTTCATCTACTCTTGTCTGTTAGCGCCCCTGGTCCACCCACGCATCCAAAGATTCCAAGCAAAATCCTAGACAATTATTTTCTGCACTCTAATTAATTGCTAAACCCAACATGGTGGTGATAGCCCCTCTCGTGCTGATACGCGAGCTAAAAGTTGCTTTTCATCTGCTCTTGTCTTTTAGCGACCCCTATATGACACTACCGTCCATTTCATCCATTCATCTGTTAGTTGACTATTTTGACCGTGTCAGTTTTTTCTTAGTGTGACCAACATACCCTCTGTTACTCACGCATCCAATTTCTCCTTGGACTTCCTGAGCGGCCAAGCTGCTCACCATTTGCTGGAACTTTGTTTCCTCTTGTTCCCCGGCAGAGCTCCCGATAACCTGTGCTGCGGGTCAAGAGGAGCCTGGCGCACATCCAATGCCGACATCGCGCTTAGCTTGGTCAGGACACACTGATCTCCAGCTAAGATGACGCTGCTGCTGGTCGTCACCTGCCTATGGAAGTTCGAGTGGCGCCGGCCACGCGCGCCTCGATCAGATCGTTCAACCGGCCGCCCATGCCAAAGCGTCGCTGACCGACGACGCCATCGATCGATCCTATAGTCCCTAGACCACCATGCCGTCGATCTAGAAAATTTTCGTGTTTGCAAGTCACTCGGGCTGTTGTTATTATACCTAGACACGCACTGCACACTAGCTCCTCTCTGCGAGCGAGGTAGAAATATGCTTGGAAATAACTTGCGGTGATGAATAATTGTGCGCTGTTCTTAAATTACCCCGTGGTTGTCGGGGAGGAAAAAGCGGTATGGAAAGGTTGAAAAGAAAGTGAGGGAGGAAGCTGCATGGAAGGAACTAAAGCATGGGAGTCAGTGGAGCCCGTGCCGGACTGCCGGCGGATTGGCCTCTGCCGCCGCCGATGGATACCCAGGGGGGAAAGGATGCCACCAGTCTACCGGACCGACCGAACTGCCGCTTTTTTAAGGTGCAAGGGACGGAGCCGTCATCGCGATGGTTTTTGCAGCGTGAGATCACGTATATGCAAGGTCTTTGACCGGAGGGTCATGGGTCTCGCAGGCAATGCCTGGGCAATTTCTCCGATGACCGTCCATCAATTATTTCCCGTATTTTTGCTACAAAGAAAGGCATTCATAATTTTACCAGCCACTTGACGCCGTTACTAGACCAAATGGACAGCAGTGCTATCTACGGAAGAAAAATTTAACTTGGTGCCAAATAAGAAAGTCCAATTTTTTTAGTGCCAAATGGAAGACTGAACGTTCATAGCCAAATACAGAATTCTCCCATAAAATTAACACGGACTGTGCAATCTTTCGCATGCCTTTCGCCTGTACAAATCTTCTTTCACTAGTGAACATACTGTACCTTTGTTTTTTCGCCTGCAAAAATCTTGGCCTCCAGCTTTTAGGTGACATGTCAATTTTTTTATAAATAGCAATTAACCATCCGGCCTATTGACGTTGGCTCTCAACTCTGGTCCACCCACGCATCCAAAGATTCCAAACAAAATCATAGACAATTATTTTCTGGACCCTAATTAATTGCTAAACCCAACATGGTGGTGATAGGCCCCTCTCGTGCTGATACTCAAGCCTAAAGTTGCTTTTCATCTACTCTTGTCTGTTAGCGCCCCTGGTCCACCCACGCATCCAAAGATTCCAAGCAAAATCCTAGAGAATTATTTTCTTCACCCTAATTAATTGCTAAACCCAACATGGTGGTGATAGCCCCTCTCGTGCTGATACGCGAGCCTAAAGTTGCTTTTCATCTACTCTTGTATTTTAACGACCCCTATATGGCACTACTGTCCATTTCATCCATTCATCTGTTAGTTGACTGAAAAACCTTCTTTTTTCTTAGTACCCAGGAGCGCCAACATACCCTCTGTTACTCACGCATCCAATTTCTCCTTAGACTTCCTGAGCGCCAAGCTGCTCACCATTTGCTGGAACTTTGTTTCCTCTTGTTCCCTTGACGAGCTCCCTGGTCTGCTGTGACTCGCACCGTCCGACCTGGCGCCCACATCCAATGCCGACATCGTGCTCGACAGCTTGGTCAGGACAGCCGCAGCAGGAATCTCCTGAGCGCGCCCGCCGCTGCTGGTCGTCCAGCTGCGGCAGGAAGTTCCTGAGCCTCGCCGCGCCGTCACGCGCCTCGGTCAGATCGTTCCGCGCCACGGCCGCCCTTGCCACCGGCACGCCGCTGCCCGACGACGCCATCGATCGATCCTATAGTCCCTAGACCACCATGCCGTCGATCTAGAAAACCCACAGTTGGCGAGCAGCTTCGTGCTCGGGCTGTTGTTATACCTAGACACGCACTGCACACTAGCTCCTCTCTGCGAGCGAGGTAGAAAGATGCGAGGAAATAACTTGCGGTGCCTGCTAATTGTGCGCTGTTCTTAATTTACCCCGTGGTTGTCTGGGAGGGAAAAAAGCGGTATGGAAAGGTTGAAAAGAGTGAGGGGAGGAAGCTGCATGGAAGGAACTAAAGCATGGGAGTCAGTGGAGCCCGGTGCCGGACTGCGGCGGATTGGCCTCTGGCCGTAGCCGATGGATACCCAGAGGGGGGAAAGGATGCCACCAGTCTACCGGACCGACCGAACTGCCGCTAGCTCGGTGCAAGGGACGGAGCCGTCATCGCGATGACACAGGCAGCGTGAGATCACGCATACGCAAGGTCTTTGACCGGAGGGTCACCGGGTCTCGCAGGCAATGCCTGGGCAATTTCTCCGATCACCGTCCATCAATTATTTCCCGTATTTCTGCTACAAAGAAGGGCATTCATAATTTTACCAGCCACTTGACGCCGTGACTAGACCAAATGGACGGCAGTGCTATCTAGGGAAGAAAATTTTAACTTGGTGCCAAATAAGAAAGTCCAATTTTTTTAGTGCCAAATGCGGAAGACTGATTTGTTTGAGTGCCAAATACATAATTCTCCCATAAAATTAACACGGACTGTGCAATCTTTCGCCGGCCTTTCGCCTGTACAAATCTTCTTTCACTAGGGTGAACACGTACTGTACCTTTGTTTTTTCGCCTGCAAAAATCTTGGCCTCCAGCTTTTAGGTGACATGTCAATTTTTTTATAAATAGCAATTAACCATCCGGCCTATTGACGTTGGCTCTCAACTCTGGTCCACCCACGCATCCAAAGATTCCAAACAAAATCCTAGACAATTATTTTCTGGACCCTAATTAATTGCTAAACCCAACATGGTGGTGATAGGCCCCTCTCGTGCTGATACGCAAGCCTTTGCTTTTCATCTACTCTTGTCTTTTAGCGCCCCTGGTCCACCCACACATCCAAAGATTCCAAACAAAATCCTAGACAATTATTTTCTACGCCCTAATTAATGGCTAAACCCAACATGGTGGTGATGGTGGTGATAGCCCTCTCGTGCTGATACGCAAGCCTAAAGCCGCTTTTCATCTACTCTTGTCTTTTAGCCCCGTTTTTTCTTACGCGCAATTTCTACTTCTTGTCATCTAAGTCTAAATACTTCACCTCTTGCTGCTTGCTTGACGAAATTTCGACGATGCCGTGTGGATAATTTACGCCAAAAATCACCGATTATATATGCCGAGGGCATAGAAGCAACAGTAAACATACACAGCCACAACGGCAACCATTACAGAGAGCTAGCTAGCTTGATTAGGTGAGTAGGGGCTGCAGTGCGCATTCATGGCGTTTTCTGTGGAGAAGTGGGTAGGGTTCGGGTCGGCCATGGCTGGCTTCGGCTTGCTTTGGTCGAGGATGCCGCAGCACGTCCATGATGAGGCTAGGCACATCATCAGTAGCTTGGTTCCCATGGTGATGTCCTACTTCAACCCCTATGAGCAGATCACCATCTCGAGTACGGTGAAGAGCGGTTCGAATGGAACAAAATGTTCTTCGCCGTTTCCACCTACACGAGAATGGTGTGCTTGGATGATCATGCAAGCAAGCTCAAGGCCGAGCTCGGCAACAACAGCAAGGATGACCCGCTTATCGGTCTGGACAAGAACCAAGAGGTCGTCGACAATTTCGACGGAGCCCAGATGTGGTGGAGGCTGTGCCCCAAATCCGCCAAGAACATGGGGGGCCCACCGTCATCAGCTTGTTGCCCTGGGGATTCCGACGATGAGCCTCGGTGCTACAGGCTGGTGTTTCACAAGCGCCACCGCAAACTTGTGCTCGACTCCTACCTGCCCAGCATCGTCCGGCAGTGGCGCGAGATAATCGCCACGAACCGGCAGAGGCTACTGTTCACCAACCACTCCCAAGAAGGGAAGAGCAGGTGGATCAATGTCCCGTATAATCCCCGGGCGACGTTTCGACATGCTCGCCATGGACCACAGCAAGAAGATCGAGATCATGGAGGATCTCACGGCATTCCCGTGGCGAAGGAGTACCACTCCAAGGTCGGCAAGGCGTGGAAGCGGGGATACCTCCTGCATGGACCGCCGGGCACAGGCAAGTCCACCATGATCGGGGCTATGGCCAACTTCCTCGAGTATGATGTCTACGACCTCGACCTAACATCCATCAAGGACAACGCCGAGCTGCGGAAGCTCTTCCTTGATACGACGGACAGATCCATCATCGTTATCGAGGACATCGACGCGATTGAGGTCGAACTCACCACCAGCGCGCAAGGGCAAGGAGGCAGCCAAAGAGAATGACGACAACCACCTGGTGATAGAGCTGTCCGAGAAGAATAACAAAGGCAAAGTGACGCTGTCGGGCTGCTCAGCTTTGTCGACGGGCTGTGGTCGGCCCTGCGGCAGCGAAGCGGATCTTCGTGTTCACCACGAACCACGTTGACCGGCTCGACAGGCGCTGATCCGCGCGGGGTAGGATGGACAGGCACATTGAGATGTCCTACTGCCGGTTCGAGGCCTTCAAGATGCTCGCTAAAAGCTATCTAGACATCACTGAGCATTCACTATTCGGTGAAATCGGGCAACTGCTCGATGAGATCGACACAACTCCGCAGACGTGGCAGATAACCTCATCCCGCGCGGCAAGAGGAACGGTGAAATCGATCGATTGCTCGATGAGATGAATGGGGCACCGGCAGACGTGGCCGGTAACCTCATGCTGCGGGTCAAGAGGAGAGAAGCAGATGACTGCTTGGCAGGTTTAGTGGAAACACTGAAGAAGGCTAAGATGAAAGCTGCAGCACCTCCTATGGATTCAGTGGAAGAGGCGAAAGAGGAATAACCTAACGCACAAGAAAGTTAGACAGGGGGCCAGATATATAATAAGGGTTGCTAGATCTTTGTCTTGTGCTATTTTACATAATTTTCGTGTTTGTTAGTCACTTAAGCTTGGATACGTCATAACCTCAACTGCTACTTATGTTCTGTAGAATTTGTCTTGTCAACCTTTCAAACTTTGATGAATAATATGTTTGCCATTTATATATAAAATTGTCATTGGATTTATCATGAATTCTTTTATAGTACCATCACTACAAAAATGGATGTTATTGATATGTATTGTGTTCGTCATACAAGCAATTTTTATATGAAGTATAGAATTTGCAAAAAAAAAAAAAAAGTCGAATTTTTGTAAATGGGCAACAACGTTCATAGACGTGGTTATTTAAGAGTATAATCACATGCATGGATTTTAACCGGTGGAAATAAACCTTTGGTTGATTTGGTTTCTCAAATATTATTATACAGATGCCAAATAAAATCTGGAGCATGATTATCTGGAAGTAAATGATAAAATTACTTCAATATGTGAAATGGATATAGATGGACAAACGGAATCGTTAATGTTGAATATTTGAATTGCACTAATGTGTACGATATTATATATCTATTGCATAGATCTCGTTATGAGAAACAAAACAGAACTTGTTTTTTTATTTTATGACTTTTGTATGTTTTCATATAGATTTCATAACTTTTATTAGCAGATTAAAACATGAAAGTAAAAGGAAAACCAAATGGTGACAAACATTTTGCACTTAGGGCCCCTATACTTTTCCTTATTCTCAATGTGCTACGATGTATAGTTAACAACTGTTTATATGTGTCTGGAGATTTTGCATTGGGAATCCTGAAAAAGCTTCTATTTTCCTTTCCTCACCCAGGAGCGCTCAGCAGAGCAGAGCACGACGCAGGGTGCCGACGCCTTGGCGTCGATCCGGATGGGGACGGCCTCAGCGCCGACGCCTGGTCTGCCGACGAGCTGCGCTGGTCTCGCCGCGGTCACCGGGGCCAGCCGTGCCTCGCCGCTCGCGCTGGTCATCCAGCTGCAGCAGGAAGTTCCTGAGAGCGCCCGCGCGCTGGTCGGTCCAGCTGCAGCAGGAAGTTCCTGAGCCTGGCTGCGGCGCCGTCGTCGCGCCTCGGTCAGATCGTTCGCGCCACGGCCGCCCTTGCCGCCGACGTTACGCCGCTGCCCGCACGCCATCGATGGATCCTATAGTCCCTAGACCACCATGCCGTCGATCTAGAAAACCCACAGTTGGCGAGCAGCTTCGTGCTCGGGCTGTTGTTATATCTAGACATGCACTGCACACTAGCTCCTCTCTGCGAGCGAGGTAGAAAGATGCGAGGAAATAACTTGCGGTGCCTGCTAATTGTGCGCTGTTCTTAATTTACCCCGTGGTTGTCTGGGAGGGAAAAAAGCGGTATGGAAAGGTTGAAAAGAGTGAGGGGAGGAAGCTGCATGGAAGGAACTAGAGCATGGGAGTAAGTGGAGCCGGTGCCGGACTGCCGGCGGATTGGCCTCTGGCCATAGCCGATGGATACCCAGAGGGGGAAAGGATGCCACCAGTCTACCGGACCGACCGAACTGCCGCTAGCTCGGTGCAAGGGACGGAGCCGTCATCACGATGACACAGGCAGCGTGAGATCACGCATACGCAAGGTCTTTGACCGGAGGGTCACCGGGTCTCGCAGGCAATGCCTGGGCAAATTCTCCGATCACCGTCCATCAATTATTTCCCGTATTTCTGCTACAAAGAAGGGCATTCATAATTTTACCAGCCACTTGACGCCGTGACTAGGCCAAATGGACGGCAGTGCTATCTAGGGAAGAAAATTTTAACTTGGTGCCAAATAAGAAAGTCCAATTTTTTTAGTGCCAAATGCGGAAGACTGATTTGTTTTAGTGCCAAATACATAATTCTCCCATAAAATTAACACGGACTTTGCAATCTTTCGCCGGCCTTTCGCCTGTACAAATCTTCTTTCACTAGGGTGAACACGTACTGTACCTTTGTTTTTTCGCCTGCAAAAATCTTGGCCTCCAGCTTTTAGGTGACATGTCAATTTTTTTATAAATAGCAATTAACCATCCGGCCTATTGACGTTGGCTCTCAACTCTGGTCCACCCACGCATCCAAAGATTCCAAACAAAATCCTAGACAATTATTTTCTGGACCCTAATTAATTGCTAAACCCAACATGGTGGTGATAGGCCCCTCTCGTGCTGATACGCAATCCTTTGCTTTTCATCTACTCTTGTCTTTTAGCGCCCCTGGTCCACCCACACATCCAAAGATTCCAAACAAAATCCTAGACAATTATTTTCTACGCCCTAATTAATGGCTAAACCCAACATGGTGGTAGCCCCCTCTCGTGCTGATACGCAAGCCTAAAGCCGCTTTTCATCTACTCTTGTCTTTTAGCCCCCCCCGCGCAATTTCTACTTCTTGTCATCTAAGTCTAAATAGCACCTCTTGCACTTGCTTCGACGAAATTTCGACGATGCCGTGTGGATAATTTACGCGCCAAATCACCGATTATATATGCCGAGGGCATAGAAGCAACAGTAAACATACACAGCCACAACGGCAACCATTACAGAGAGCTAGCTAGCTTGATTAGGTGAGTAGGGGCTGCAGTGTGCATTCATGGCGTTTTCTTGGGAGAAGTGGGTAGGGTTTGGGTCGGCCATGGCTGGCTTCGGCTTGCTTTGGTCGAGGATGCCGCAGCACGTCCATGATGAGGCTAGGCACATCATCAGTAGCTTGGTTCCCATGGTGATGTCCTACTTCAACCCCTATGAGCAGATCACCATCTCCGAGTACGGTGAAGAGTCGTTCGAATGGAACAAAATGTTCTTCGCCGTTTCCACCTACCTGAGAATGGTGTGCTTGGATGATGCAAGCAAGCTCAAGGCCGAGCTCGGCAACAACAGCAAGGACGACCCGCTTATCAGTCTGGACAAGAACCAAGAGGTCGTCGACAATTTCGACGGAGCCCGCATGTGGTGGAGGCTGTGCCCCAAATCCGCCAAGAACAGGGGCCCACCGTCATCAGCTTGTTGCCCAGGGATTCCGACGATGAGCCTCGGTGCTACAGGCTGGTGTTTCACAAGCGCCACCGCAAACTTGTGCTCGACTACCTACCCAGCATCGTCCGGCAGTGGCGCGAGATAATCGCCACGAACCGGCAGAGGCTACTGTTCACCAACCACTCCCAAGAAGGGAAGAGCAGGTGGATCAATGTCCCGTACAATCCCCCGGCGACGTTCGACATGCTCGCCATGGACCACAGCAAGAAGATCGAGATCATGGAGGATCTCACGGCATTCCCGGAGGCGAAGGAGTACCACTCCAAGGTCGGCAAGGCGTGGAAGCGGGGATACCTCCTGCATGGACCGCCGGGCACAGGCAAGTCCACCATGATCGGGCTATGGCCAACTTCCTCGAGTATGATGTCTACGACCTCGACCTAACATCCATCAAGGACAACGCCGAGCTGCGGAAGCTCTTCCTTGATACGACGGACAGATCCATCATCGTTATCGAGGACATCGACGCGATTGAGGTCGAACTCACCACCAAGCGCAAGGGCAAGGAGGCAGCCAAAGAGAATGACGACAACCACCTGGTGATAGAGCTGTCCGAGAAGAATAACAAAGGCAAAGTGCGCGCTGTCGGGCTGCTCAGCTTTGTCGACGGGCTGTGGTCGGCCTGCGGCAGCGAGCGGATCTTCGTGTTCACCACGAACCACGTTGACCGGCTCGACCCGGCGCTGATCCGGCGGGGTAGGATGGACAGGCACATTGAGATGTCCTACTGCCGGTTCGAGGCCTTCAAGATGCTCGCTAAAAGCTATCTAGACATCACTGAGCATTCACTATTCGGTGAAATCGGGCAACTGCTCGATGAGATCGACACAACTCCGGCAGACGTGGCAGATAACCTCATGCCGCGGCAAGAGGAACGGTGAAATCGATCGATTGCTCGATGAGATGAATGGGGCACCGGCAGACGTGGCCGGTAACCTCATGCTGCGGGTCAAGAGGAGAGAAGCAGATGACTGCTTGGCAGGTTTAGTGGAAACACTGAAGAAGGCTAAGATGAAAGCTGCAGCACCTCCTATGGATTCAGTGGAAGAGGCGAAAGAGGAATAACCTAACGCACAAGAAAGTTAGACAGGGGGCCAGATATATAATAAGGGTTGCTAGATCTTTGTCTTGTGCTATTTTACATAATTTTCGTGTTTGTTAGTCACTTAAGCTTGGATACGTCATAACCTCAACTGCTACTTATGTTCTGTAGAATTTGTCTTGTCAACCTTTCAAACTTTGATGAATAATATGTTTGCCATTTATATATAAAATTGTCATTGGATTTATCATGAATTCTTTTATAGTACCATCACTAGAAAGGCGTGCGGCGTTGCCGCGCAGTGCCTGTCTTATGTCGAAGTAT